TTAAGGGTTTTTTTTTGGTTTGTTTTTTTTTTTTTTTTTTTTTTTTGAAAGAGTAGCAGGAGAAGGAGAAGCAATGCTGGGCTTGGCTGACTTCATCTGCAGGAATAAAACATTATGACTGCATTAATGTCCCTTTTCCTGCTGTAACACGTTCTGTCTTCACACAAGGAGTGATATGGGTTGGGTAGGCTTGGAGGTTGGCTGAGATACTCAACCTGCTTCTTTTTTTTCTGCCACACAGGATGACTATGACCCCAGCAGGATCAAAGTCCTTCATTTCAGCGCGAACCCGGTGAGCTTGGCCAAGCAGCAGCGCAAGGAGGAGCAGCAGCAGCTCCAGGAGGAGTGTGAGAGGCTGAGGGAGCTGGTGAGGGTGCTCGAAGGAGGTGGCTCCATCCCAGAGAACCTGGAAAGAGTCGGGAGTTTCCAGTCGCAAGAAATTACAGGTAGGCTGCTGGCTCCTCGTCACGAGGACACACTTGTTCATCCCTACTGCCAGAGGAACCCACTGCTGAAGCAGATGGAGATGTTGCAGACAGTGTGCTTGGTGGAACAGGGACAAGGAGAATGAAAAAAGCTGGGTTGATGCAGGAGAGAGCGAAATGTGTGGTGGCAATCCTGTGGCAGTTGAGTACAGAGGGTAGGTGGTAAGGATAAATAATAATAATCCATATCATTTGCTCATGATGAATGAAATACCAATACAACAGCCTTCATAGGCCTGGGCTGCCAATGGAGTAAAAGGAAATAATTCCTTCCTTTCAGGGCTGGTTTAGCCCTTGAGGTAGTACAGACAGCGGGAAATAACTTTCATAGCTGCAGGGAAGCAAGTGGTTGAAATCTTTTCAGACCTGGCTTAAAACAAATTAATATTGTTTATCAGCCTATATGTGCCCCATTAATCACAGCTACATTCAATACTCCATGAAAATAGAGTACATCTTTCACCGAGCTAAGTACATTTCACAGACTCCATGGCTCTCCTCCAGTACAGTCTGTCTTTATCCACATACCTGAATGAGACTTTTTAGTGCAGTAACCCCCAAGTCAGCACCTCCAGACGCGCTCTCAGGCTCTGTAAATCAAGGTAAGGATATCAATAAAACGTGACCCATCACCTGCAGCACCACCAGGGGACCAGCAGAGCCGAGTCGTGCTGCAGAGCCCAAGAGATCACACTGCTCTGACTCTCTCGTGTGTACCTTGCCCTCAAAACATTTTTGTTAGAGAAGAGAAAAATAAAAATAGAGCTGAAGGTCGGTGTGGAGATAGCCTGTTGCATCCAGCAGCACGTCCGTGGTCCGTGGCTGGAGGTCAGGAGCCTCCTCAGATGAGGCTGAGAGAGCAGAGCTTTCCTTGAAGGCCACGTGTGCTGGAGGCTTGAGACCCGCAAAATGGCAGAGCCCTGATTTAAAGAAAATAGGCAGAAGAATATATCTTTGACTGTTATGACACCAAAATTCTCTGAAAGTAGCTTGCTTGTTTTCCCATTGCTGAAACAATAGTACTTTATTACTGCTAAGAACCTGTTTGTTCCGGCATCTCGTAGCGGATTATGGTACTGTATCGCCTTAAAAATGTAACGGTGAGACGTGCAGATGGGGTGGTTTGTAAAATGAAGGGCTGGCTGGATGTTGGAGGCACAATGACAGTTTGTCACTGTTGTTAGCACACGCTCTAACAAACGCGGAGGCATTAAATGCTTCCTGAGCGTTTCGGGGAGGCCGCCTTTGCCGGGGGGGCTTCCAGCCTCAGACCCCACCGAGACCCCAGCGTGTCTTGGGGACAGCTCGTGCATCCCAATTTGGATTTGAAACTGATGGCAGATGCTGCTGCCCAGTGCCCTTGTCCCTCGTTCTGTCCCCGAGCAGCCTGGGGACACATCTCACGCTGCCACCGGTCGCCCCCAAACCCGGGGGGAGCGTGGGGCTCGGGGGCAGAGGGGACACAGAGGTGAGGTCAGCTCTGCTGTCTCTGCCGCTGACGAATGAGCCCCCGGGGTATCATCTCCAGTAATTAGACCATTTCTTCTGGGGGAACGCGTTCCCCACGTACGCCTCCTGTGATTTGTTATTCATAATTATTATTCTGCTGCCTTTCACGCCGTTGCTTTTAGCTGTTCGGGAGGCGCTTCTGTGCTGGGATGTCACCAGGTTTGTCTTTAGCTTATAGGGGATGCATTTTTAAAGCTGTTTTCTCCTCTGCCTTTGATTCCGACAGGAAAACAAACCGCTCACCGGGTTTCAGGGTGTTTCCAGCCTCTCATATACGTGATGCTTTTTTTTTTCCTTTTGCCCCCGTCCTGTGCTGCATCATTCTGACTTCTGGTCACCAGCTCAAATGGGAGAGAGCATCAGTATTTCCCACCTCACAGAGCCTAGAGGGGTGGGAAATACTTCAGTGTCATTTATCATGGTCCCAGGAGGAACCTTTGTGTTTTCAGAGAGCCTGGAAGTGCATATGGAAGTGGTTCATGTAAACAAAATGGGAAAAAGAGCTGTAGGGGGAGGATGGAGGAGTCCTGTGGATGATGGTCTTCGAGACCAGGGCATGTCCATAGTAAGTCGGGTTATATGGAAAGATCTTGGCTTTATTCTTGTATTTTTATGGACTTGTGTACAAGGAATGTTGCCAGAAATAGTCCTAAGCCCTCCCTTCTGCTGCAGGAACATTCAGCAGTACGGCCTGAGGATGAAGCCCGTGTATCTTAGGAGGTGTGAGAGATGCTGAGGCTGTTCCAGCACTGACTGCAGGGTTAAGCAGCTGGGGCTGAGCTGGCTTTAAATGAGCCAGGCGAATGCCAGGTTGGGCCTTCTGGCTGGGGCAAGGCAGAGCTCCTTTTTGCAGCTCAGTCTTTTTTCAGTGGTGCCCAGGGACAGGACAAGAGGAAATGGGCACAAACCTGAATATAAGAAGTTCCACCTAAACATGAGGAGGAACTTCTTGACTTTGAGGGTGGCAGAGCCCTGGAAGAAGTTGCCCAGGGAGGTGGTGGAGTCTCCTTCTCTGGAGACATTCAAACCCACCTGGACGTGTTCTTATGGGACCTGCTCTGGGTGGACCTGCTCTGGCAGGGGGTTGGACTAGATGATCTCCAGAGGTCCCTTCCAACCCCATAGCATTCTGTGATTCTGTGAGAGCAGGACACGTAAAGCTGGGAAGACAACAAAGGTCATACATGAGTTTGCATTTTGCCTTTTGGCAGATAGAGGTAAATGTAAGATTTTATTGTCCCGCTTCGCCGTACGCCCGGAATGGCTCATTGGCAGAGGGGAGGGATTGGGGTGGCCTCTGGCCAGTGGGGTTTGCTGTGTTCAGCAAGCTTATGTGATCTGCAACAATTATGCTTAAGGTTCAAAGAATTATAATTATACCAACCACAAAAAAAAAAAAAAAGGCATTAAGGACAATGATGTTGATGGTTTTGATAATAATCTATTGGCCATTATTAAATTCGCTCATTGGACTGGAGTGCAGCACGTTTTTTCTGATCCTGGTTCCGACTCCTGGATAGGTAATAAGGAAATTATTACTGTGGATGTTAAAGCTCATTAAATGTGACTCTATTAAAAATCAAGGTTATGCTGGACTTTAAATCTCTTTGAGCAGAACCGCCGGAGGCTGCAGCACAACCTGGCAACTTGCCACACAGTTCAGTGGTCCTTTCCTCTCATTTGTGCCGTAAATGAGTCTCTGTTAAAACGGGTACCAGGGCTGTTGGAAAGGAGAGGTTTGAGCAGCGTTGAGCTGTAACAACGCGTTGTCCTTCCCCAAAGTATAAATCCAGGCGCGGGGTGGTGCGGTGTTAATGGGGCAGATCCTCGGCAGCCGCATTACGGGAACGGGCTGTAACTCCCTGGGTGGTTTGTGTCTCTCCTGGTGGCTGCACGGGTCTGGGTTGTGTAAGAGGAGAGAGCACCAAGGTCAGGCTGCCTCTGGTCCCTTCTCCCAGGCAGGGATGCAGATGGGAACAGCATCGGGAAGGTGGCACCGGGCATCGCTGCCCAGACTCGGACTCTGCTCCACCTCTGCCTTCCTGGGCTCTTCACACCTTCCCCCCAACCTTTCTGTATTGCAGGCTGCACCTTCTGCTTTTTTTCATCCAGCCCCATAGTTTTTCCTGTTTTTTTCCAGTTTCTCTCCAGGCCATTTCTGTTTATATCCTCCTGGTTTTTGTCTTGTCTGGTCCTGGTGGACCTCTTAGCTTTCCTTTTCTGGCACCACTAGAGATGGATTTTGGTCTTAGTTGGAAGCAAATAGGTAGGAGGCAGCTAATGGGGAGCTGACAGAAGTAATGACTTGTGTGTTGTAGCAAAGCACAGGTAGAAATGAGAATGCTGCAGGTGTTCATTGTTTCCATTTGGGTTCTTATCTTAAAAGTGATATATTTGAAGGCAGGAAGGGGGTGACCCGTGGAAGCTGGGTCCTGACTAAAAAATGCTGTAATGTGAATTTTCCATGAGCTCTCATGATTTATTGCTATTCTGTAGGTACAGTGGAGCATTCCCTTCTCTCATGCAGCCTCTCCCTGTGAGAAAGAGGAAAAGTGCTTTTGATATTCTTTCTGTTGAGATACAGGCTGGCACCCCTACCAGGAAGGAGGATGGGGAAATCAACTCTTGATTTCAACCATCTGTGGAGAATTATAGCAAGCGAACTATTTTCCTGAATGTAATCCCACCAAAAAGGAAAGTTATTCATCCACCTCAGTGGTTTTGGTCTCCTTTTTCCCTTGTTAGGGAAAAGTAGGGAAAGGGGATCCTTGATGAAGGACTGGGGACTCTCACTCTGATGGACATGTTACATCTGGTGTTCAGCAGAGGCTGTCTCCAGCATCACTGCCATGTCAGGGCCGTGTAGAAATGTAATTGATTGGAATTAAATTGGTTAATGAATTAATATTAAAATAATCTAATCTTGTGGAAGTGACAAGCCAGAGATGGCAAAATTTGTCACTGTCCCAGCGTGCTCGTGCTTCTGATGAATGCCTTTCTGAGTACAGAAGGCGACAAGAAAAAGGAGCAGATGGAATTTAAAAGTTGCCGTTCTCCATCCACAGTTGGCTGAGCTGTTGGTGCTTGGAAGCTGTGGTGCTTCCTACCATCTGTGTGTAGAAAATCCACACGTGGTGAGGGCTGCACCTGCAGACGAAACCTGGGTCCACCTGATGAAGGATTTTGCTGTGACCTTAGTTGGTGGCAGCGCCCGTATCTCACTTTGTGCTGATGGCTCCCAGCATCTCACTGGTCAAACAAGGTCGGGGCAGAGAGGGCAGCTCTTCTTTGGTCACATAATGCCTCTTCCTACAGCAGAGGAAGGATTCAATAGGTGACACTTCTCTCGGTGATGTTTAACATGTCAATTCTCCTTCAGTTTGTACGGAAAGAATTGACTTCTTTCTGAAGAGACACAAAGTGAAGGTCCAGGGCATTTGCTGTCTTCAGAT